GTTTCCTTTGCACCCAGGGCCGCTGCCACAGCGGACAACCCCCCCCCCCTCAGCCGGGGTGAAGCAAAAACTGGACGGTTGGTTCAACGGGGCTTAAGATAGGAGGAAGCCGGGCGTCCAGGGGCTGCCGCGACCAACTTATTTCTAACTGGCTGATGGGGCTTGTGCATCCACGGGTGTAGACCACTCAGTGGGAGACACACGCCCTCACACACATGTTCACGGCGGTTTATTTTCCCTTGGGAAAAGCCTCAGCGCTGCTTGGGGTCACTTGTATAATTCAGGGCCAAGAGAAGATGGTTGTAATTGCTACTGCTGGGGAAAGCCAGAAGTACTTGGAGTGTGGGTGATTGCCTTCCAAGCAGCAGCGACCAAAAGTGCCCCTCTCTTGCCCCTAAATTAGACTCCACGCCCTGGAAAAGTCAATTTATTGGTTGACCTAGGTGCTCACAGCTGTGACCCAGATGGCAAAGTCATGGGGAGGGAAGAGAAAGACTTCCAGCCTTTTTGTTTGTTTGTTTTTAGTAACTACACAGTCTTAAACCTTGAAATATTTAGAAATTTGCTTCCAAGTAGCCATGTTGTTGAAACTGTAGAAGAATGATGGAATCAGGCAGATTTTTTCAGCAGTGCTGTAAGAAGAGGAATGTTTCCACTTTGAGGCTGCCTAGGTATTATCTGGTCAGAGTATTCCTCCTCCATCTTCTGCCCTATGGCTCCTCCAAAGTCTTCATTGAACCCATGGAGTAAGGTCTTGTGCTGGTGGCATTAACTGGCAAGGGTCAGGTATGAGAGGTCTTAGAAAACCATATCCAGCCTTCTCTGCCCAAATCTCTGGAAGGACTAGCCCTCTGCCTCCACACCTCTAGGAGGTAGTACCACGGAGGGGGCATAGTGGATTTTTCCAGGATGCAGCTGAAAGAGTTGCTCATAATGTAGAGAGAATAATTGTAGGTTTTCCTTTCATCCTTTTAGTGTCAGCTTGAGAGGTGTTGATTACATCAGGCAGGGATGAGCAGCCTCCAAAAGCCCAAGGCCGAAAAGTATGTTGACTGCTTTGCTAAATGCCTTTCGGCCACTTTAGAAACCCTTCAGTTTTGGATGGTGCCATGCAGATGGATCTTTCTACAACATCCACAGGTCTTTGTTTTGCTGCCCATCTCCATCTACCCTGTCTGTTCACATGAGTCAGTTTTCGTGGCACAAATAGATCTCCCCAGGGAAGAGGACCCAGTGTAACATACTCTGGGTAGATTCGAAATATACCAGTGGTGAGTAAATATGTGTGTCTTCAAGCAGCCCACGAGAGGTCCCTGCAGATCACAAAACTGATGTGTTAAGCAGTGTGTGATTGTAGTGTGGCAAATTGTTTGGCTTCGTGCTGCTATCATAGAGGGCCATGGCTTCACACCACTGTTCTATTAACTTCCTGCCTGCTGCTGCCAATGGTTGGATAGTAAACAGCTGTCAAGTATGAATCATGGCTGGGAAACAGCTATGGGCAAGTTTAGAGATTGTGTAGTGACCTCTGGGTGATGGACAGAAATGTCACTGAGGAGAGAAAGAAGTTCAGCTAAGAGTATTGTTTCAAGTAACCAGGAGAGTTTCATTGGCCTCATATGCTAAAACCAAGGAGATTAACAAAACAGCTAGAGCCCAGATTTGTCTTTAAACTGCAGAGCTTGGGGGAGATCGATGCTATGTGAGTGAAAAGAGGTTTAGTATTCACTTTGCTAAAATTCTAGGAGAGCTTCATGATGCTCATACATCTGAGCATTTATAAAACTCGAGCCAGGTGTGGGGGAATTAGTACCATTTAAAGTCTTTAAATTTGGGAAAGTAAGTGTGAATTTCACTTTTATCCTTAATGCAATGCAATATTTATTCCAAAGAGAGAAGGAACACATCTCCTGAGCCAATGTGCCGATGAAGAAGTCGGCCATCCTCAGAAATTCTTCCTGTTCCTCACTGTGACCTCAAGGATGGTCCCCAAGCTGAGAGAGACATACCTTTAGAGGTTACCAGCTTGCGGAAACCCATTTGCAGCTGCTTTTTTCTGCCCTTGAAGGAAGATAGTGAGTGTGTGTGTTTTAAACACTTACATAAATCAAGTTCTTTTCTCAAAGGTGAAGTACAAAAGTGCTTATACTGCAGGATTTTCCTGATTTCAAAATGGATAATCTTCCTAAAGGATTTAGCTTTGGTTAGCATGGTCATTTGAGTGCTTAAAATTCTCTTGCTTTAGAGTCAAACCCCTGGTGTTAACCTTGCCTTGGGTACTGACAAACTTGAGTTTCTGAATGTTGACTCAGAGAACATTTGCAGTAACTGATATTTGCCAAGTGTCCTATCAGTGAGTAAGGGCAGTGGTAATTACAGAGTATTCTCAGAGGACATTAACTCACAGTGGGATTAATAAAGTATATATTTTGACTTTCCCAGGTACCTACATTTAATGATTTGGTCACAGAATCTGTGCCTTTTTGATCATGTGAAGAAACAGAACTCAAATTTTCCCTCAAGAACCCAGTTTCATACTTCAATGATAACTTTAGCAAATTTACTGGCTAGGAGTTGGAATAGCTGGCAAGTGGTTTTGACCCTTTAGATCACCTATATGAATTATGACCTTTGATTGCATCTGTTGTGGGTAGGGCATAGTGTGTTAGGGTTCTATCTGAATATGTTTTATCTTGTTCTTCTAATTTTCTTGTTATTCCATTGCTTGATAGTTTACATGCAGTTTTACTTTACTGTTTCCTTGGTAACAGTTATATATCATTTTCCATCTTTGTAGATGAGAGCATTACCTATGATTGCTTTATAAGCCAGTAATAGTATAAAATAGGCATATATTTTTATTGTTACTGCTCTTTGTATTGACGGTTTCATTTGTAAAGCAGATTCGCTCTTTCAAATGTTTATAGAAGAATGCATTTCAGTAGAAAAACATGATTGTGCCCCCTTTGCCTGAGGGATTTGAAACCCAAAATTCCTAGAGGTATTATTAAACTGAGTAAAGTGTTCCTGAATTGACTGTCTGACTTTTTTCCTTTCCTTTAAGCAAAATGGAACACTTTGAGGTAATGATTGAGTCCCAACTGTTAATAAGAAGATTATTTCTTAGAGTAGTAAATTTTAGGGAAGCTTTGCCTTGCAATTTCTTGTAGTTGCATGGTTTATTTTGTGGTTTGTAGCAGTGCCTATTATCTATTTTAATAAAGTCTGTCAATTTTTTTATAAGTATGTTACAATAGGGGAAGAAGAAAAATACATATATATATTTTTCTTTGATTTTTATGGAAACCTGATTAGATACGATATCTCTATTTTTTTTTTACCTTTACATTATTCAGAATTAAATATGTCCCAGGGAAAAGGGGAGGTTAAAAAGAAATGCAAAAGGTTACAGTTTTCCCAGATCCTCTATTTTTACCTGAGTAATTACATTAAGATTGCTGATAATAGTGAGCTCTGGAGGCTAGAACTGAAAAAAACCCCAAAGACTCCGGATTTGAATTTTATTAAAAATGCTACTTGCTCATCATCTGAGTCCTTTCTGAGTTCTGCTGATTTCTGTGGCTGTCAGGAGGCGAAATGATGAAGAGTTTCATAACAGAACTAGATTTCTGTTTTAGGAATATTTAAGTGGAGTTTCCCAGGGGTTGCTAGTGTGCAGCTGTGAAAGTCTCGTTGCTTG